CACTCGTGGACAGCTGACCCAGGCAAGACACCAATTCTTATATCTTGGAGCTGTCAATGAAACAAATCATAATTTTTATGTGACAATATCTTGTCCTTGAGCTGTGGAGGAAATAGCTAGAATGAGTGAGGTGACATTCTTATGTCATGAGGCTTTCAATAAAAATATCATTTCGTTGTTGTCAAAATTAATGTCACGGAACTGTCAATAAAATGTATCAAATTATTGACAAGGCATTCTTATGTGATGAACATGTGGATTAAATACATAAAATTATTACGTGACTTTCTTATTCTTGGACCTGTCAAAAAATATATCAAAATAGTGAAAAGAAACGTGAAGGAATACGGTGAGCATGGCCGTCCATCAACTTGTTTGAATGTTTCAGCTTTACACCAAACTAACACAACTCTTTCAGCCTTACATAAGTATCCTACAATCCTACCCGCCTTACACATATCACACACAACCATACCAGCCTTACATACGTATCCTACAATCCTACCCGCCATACACATATCACATACAACCGCTACCAGCCTTACAAAAGTATCCTACACTCCTACCCGCCTTACACATATCACACACAACCATACCAGCTTAAGTATCCTACAATCCTACCCGCCTTACACATATCACACACAACCATACCAGCCTTACATAAGTATCCTACAATCCTACCCGCCTTACACATATCACACACAACCCTATCAGCCTTACATAAGTATCCTACAATCCTACCCCCCCCCTTACACATATCACACACAACCCTACCAGCATCACACCCATCTCACACAACCCTACCAGCCTCACACCCATCCCACACAACCCTATCAGCCTTACATAAGTAACCTACAATCCTACCCGCCTTACACATATCACACACAACCCTACCAGCCTCACACCCAAATCATACAACCCTACCAGCCACACACCCATCTCACACAACCCAACCAGCCTCACACCCCTTACACACAATCCTACCCACCTCACACCCATCTCACACAACCCTAACAGCCTCACACCCATCTCACACAACCCTACCAGCATCAAACGCATCTCACACAACCCTACCAGCCTCACACCAATCTCACACAACCCTACCAGCATCACACCCATCTCACACAACCCTACCAGCCTCACACCCATCTCACACAACCCTACCAGCTTCACACCCATCTCACACAACCCAACCAGCCTCACACACATCTTACAGAACCCTACCAGCCTCACACCCATCTCACACAATCCTCCCAGCCTCACACCCATCTCACACAACCCTACCAGCCTCACACCCATCTCACACAACCCTACCAGCCTCACACCCATCTCACACAACCCTACCAGCCTCACACCCATCTCACACAACCCTACCAGCCTCATACCCATCTCACACAATCCTACCAGCCTCACACCCATCTCACACAACCCTACCAGCCTCACACCCATCTCACACAACCCTACCAGCCTCACACCCATCTCACACAACCCTACCAGCCTCACACCCATCTTACACAACCCTACCATCCTCACACCCATCTCACACAACCCTACCAGCCTCACACCAATCTCACACAACCCTACCAGCCTCACACCCATCTCACACAAACCTACCAGCTCTACTCCCATCTCACACGAACTTACCAGTTTTACACATATCACCTTGTCTCTACACCATCGAATACTCCCCATAAAACCTCTCACATTTTAACACATCAACACATCTATTGTCTTCCAACTATTGTGGGTTCACAACCTCTTGACAATCCTACTTTAGAAAAAAAAGCATTCCTCTAAAACGCCTTTCTTGCACTACCACAAGCCATTTCCCATACTGGAGCCTCATTATCCTCCGTAAATCCATACCTATTCTAATCCAAACGCTCCACTCATTTACTCCACGCAAGCCCCCACTCACAATCCCAACAATCCTGCCCTCATTGACCACGATCTAAATATAGCCAAGAATTAATTTCTAACTTTCTACATCAACAGCGCAATAAATAATACCCATTCCTTGTAATTATCCTCGATACGCAATCAAATGTATTAGCCATTGTAACATATTCTATAAGCCATTGTAACCTATTCTATAAGTACCTGAAACCTATTCTATAAGTACCTGAAACCTATTCTATAAGTACCTGAAACCTATTCTATAAGTACCTGAAACCTATTCTATAAGTACCTGAAACCTATTCTATAAGTACCTGAAACCTATTCTATAAGCCATAGAAAAATATTCTGAAAGGCAATGAAAGCTATTCTATAAGCCATTGAAACCTATTCTATAAGCCTTTGAAACCCATTTATAAGTCACTGAAACCTATTTCATAAGCCATTGAAACCTATTATATTAGCCAAAGAAATCTATTCTATTAGCCATTGAAACCTTATAATATCCCTTGAACACTATTCTATTATTCATTGAAACATTTCCATTAACAATCGAAACCTTTCTATTTGCCATTGAAACCTATTCTAAATGAGATTTAAAGATTGATTTCTAGGTAAATATGTTAAGCTGCTCTCCCGGATTGTGATCCCTGAATAACTTCCGGTTGTTAAGAAATAATAACCAACTTCCTGGTGAGTGACTCCATGAAAAGTAAGACCTCTATTTTCAAATCAAGATCCAGACACGCAGTTTGGCCAATTGTTCTTCTGGATTAGTACATTGATAACGACATTTATAATATTGAGTTATCATTGTCATTTCCAGTGTTATCATTAATATAAAGTAATCATTAATATTTCTACCAACATCTCTACTATTAACTTAAATTAGCATTTGAGCGACATCACTACTATTAAGTTAAATTGACATTTGAGAGACATCACTACTATTAAGTTAAATTAACATTTGAGCGACATCCCTACTATTAAGTTAGATTAACACTAGAGCGACATCACTACTATTAAGCTAAATTAACATTTGAGCGACATCCCTACTATTAAGATAAATTTACGTTTGAGGGACATCACTACTTTTAAGTTAAATTAACATTTGAGCGACATCACTACTATTCTTTCAATTGATTTATAAATCTAAGCAACTTCTCCGCCTGTCATATTTGCAATGGCCAAAGATAAGGCGCTATTAAAAGTACATCTAACCAAGAGATCACGTGATCACTACAACAACGAAAAAAAAATAGGAAACAAAATAAGAACGCCGACATCGGGGACGATCCAAACCGATTTAGTCGCCAAAAAAATGGGTAATCGGCCTGATTGGTGCTTAGTCGATAACCGGTTGTGAGCTTTTCCCGACCGCTAATCGGCTGATCCATCTATTGCAAGTGTTAGATGTCAATCTAGATAGTTGTGATCAAATGCTTTCTGCCATTTTTTCCACCTTCAAATTTTGGCCGAATTGGGGTTTATCCATGCAGGGCAAAGCAGAGGAAATGGGGTGCCCGGGGTGAAACCAGCGAATGCCGTTCCTCAAGTGATAGAAAAAAAGGGCCGCCTGCGGTGGAGCACTAAAAAAAAACAACCTATTTTTTAGCCACTTGTCTTTGTAAAATAATTTGGGCTTTATGATAAAACTCATTTTATTTTAATTTATGATTAAGGTCATATCATTGTATTTTATGATTAAGGTCCTATCATTGTATTTTATGATTAAAGACCTATCATTGTATATTATGATTAAGGACATATCATTGTATTTTATGATTAAGGACCTATCATTGTATTTTATGATTAAGGACCTATCATTGTATTTTATGACTAAGGACCTATCAATTGTATTTTATGATTAAGGACCTATCATTGTATTTTATGATTAAGGACCTATCATTGTATTTTATGATTAAGGACCTATCATTGTATTTTATGACTAAGGACCTATCTCAAAACGATTTTGACGCCTACAGGTGTTGGGTTTATTTATACATTATATAAATTGTGTGTGTGTGTGTGTGTGAATGTGTGGGTATGTGTGCGTGTTTGTGTGTGTGTGTGTATGAAGGGGCTAACTTTTTGAGAGTTCGCACCGAGTGGTACTTAAGTCAAGCCACGTCACTACTAGTACTATTTTAGATTGTCATCTGTTTGAGAGAACGAAACGTTGAAGATAATTTTGTTACAAAGGCGTATTTCTTTTTAGTGAACATTTTATTTTATAATCTAGCAGAGGCATCGTCTTTCAAGGTATTTACTTTCAAGGGGTATCAAGTTGGAAACAGAAGAAACTTTTAGAGCAGTCTTTGAAAATCGACACCAAGGACCATTTCCCCTTTGTAAGAGCTAACATAGAATGGAAGGATTTGGTAGAGCAGGCCAGGGTCCTACACGGGCTGTAGCGCTACTGATAATGAGCTTACATGGAATGAAAGGATGTGGTGGAGCCGGCCAGGGGCCTACTTGGGGTGTGGCGCCACTGAGGATGATGATGAGTTTACATGGAATGGTAGGATGTGGTGGAGCAGGCCAGGCTACTACGTGGGTTGTAGTGCTATTGATAATGATGATGATGAAGGACTAACATGGAATGGAAGAACGTGGTGGAGCACGCCAGGGTCCTACATTGGCTATGGCATCAATGATGATGATGATGATGATGATGATGATGATGCTGATGATGATGAGGATGATGAGGATGATGATGATGATGAAGAGCTATCATGGACTGGATGTGATGGAGCAGACCTCAAGGGCTGTGGCGCCACTGATGATGATGAAAAGCTAACACATGTCTGAATTAGCGGTCAGCAGCAGCGCTGTGCCTCCATTTTCTGACTCATAATGTGAAAGTTGCATCAATGAATTCCCGATAAAACACAAACAATACGCGTCATCTCATTAAACCTTATCACATCCCAAACACTTTCCTTGGACTACCCCGGATCTTCAGATCCAGGCATTTCCCACGGTTCGAAATGCAATGGTTCCATCCTAAACATTTCCAGGAACACATATATCAAAAATGTCACTGCATCCTTCATAATTACCTACATATCACCACAAACGAAAAACAACAGCGCATTAGTACATTAAGGATTTATACTCACCCGCTGGTCTTGTATATCGATGTAGTTAATCCCGGCATGTTTGCCGGCTATGAAGGCAGCAAGGTTAGCCGTGTAGCTGGCGATTATAAATATGGCGGCAAATGCCCAGAAATTCTGCATCACTTTAGAGGGCCACGCTTTCGGCGATTTCGTTTTCACCGTATGACCAAATAGCACCGAAAACACCATAGTCAAACCGGAAGCTAGAGAGTAGTTCTTGTTCCGCTTCCGGCCCCAGGGGTTCAAACCGAAAGGAGAGTTCCACTCAAAGAGAGCCATGCACACGGCCGTGATGTGAGCTGAGACGAGAATGGCGAACCAAACTTTGGTAGAAAATGGCTCCAAGAAAGCCAACATGCTAGTTTCCCTGGTCCTGTCAGAGTAAATGATCGAGAACCCTGAAAAAAAATAAGGGTATGTGAAGTCGATATCCCGCTCTCGCTGACTGGTTATGGAGAAGGCGGCGACAGCGAAGTGGGCCGTGTTGTCGGTCAGGTCTCTCATCATACCGGACCAGGTTCCGTTGTGCGACTTCTGGCCGTACGTCTCGTCCTGGACGATGTACAGGGTGAACTCAAACTCCAAATCGGCCGCTAGTTTGTTGAGGAGGTCGATGGTCAGCCCCCTGCAGCACTGGACGTTGAAGAGGCCCTGGAGGGAAACGTTTTTACTTTCGAAGGCGTCTATCGCTCTCCACACCACTTCCTGGGACTTGGACTTGTCCGTTAGGTTCAGGCAGGGCGTGTCGCTCAGGCATTCTCCGTAGTCAGCGTGCGGTGCTTCCGTCATGACGAACGGCTGGACGGGGTTCGTGACAACCTTATAACGTTTCTTGCCATTGGTCTCCGACTGTGGACAAAATAAAAAAGTAAAAAAAAAAATCCGAAAGAAACTAAGTTATTAAATACTCTCTACCGTAATCCAATTATGACAGACAACTTCGATATGCTCAGCAATACTAGTAGATGTCAAAGCAATGCTAGCAGATGACAGAGTAGTACAACCAGGTGTCAAAGCAATACAAGCAGATGCCAGAGCAATGCAAGCATATGTCAAAGTAATACAACCAAGTGTCAGAGCAATACAACCACGTGTATGAGCAATACAACCAGGTGTATGAGCAATACAACCAGGTGTCAGAGCAATACAAGCAGATGTCAGAGCAATACAAGCAGATGTCAGAGCATTACAAGCAGATGCTCTCCAACGAACTTAATTAAGTTATTTCTATTTATAAGCAAATTTGACATCTAAAAAATCTTCAATTAATTTGTTCCATAATAAAATATTGTAAATAGTTATACAGGTAAATCAATGATGATTATACAGATACAATAATAATTGTGCGGCCATACATGTTAACACTAGAAGGAAACATACAGGGAGGGACTTTTTTTTATAAAGATCACATCATGGATCACTGAATAAAGACATAATTTCACACAACATTTGATGTTTTAATCAAAGTATTGCCCCATGTACGCTTTGACAAAACCTTGCGTTTGAATCACAAATACACACACATACACACACACACACACACACACACACACACACACACACACACACACACACAAATATATATATATATATATATATATATATATATATATATAAATATAAATATATATATACATATACATATCTTTAAATTCGGTTGTTTATATATTCTTATAGCAAAATTTCCTGTATTTTTCATATAACTTCAACCAATCAGGAAAAACAATCTACTAAGGCATCACAATCGGCACCAGCAGTGAAGCAGGGGAGCTTACTGGAGACCGTGAAGGATGGAGACCAAAGGGCAAGGACGTCTCCAACCTGAGAGCAGATCTCCTGACGCCAAAATCAATAATAAGATTTGTATACTTAATGTTGTCACACTGGATCAGAATGTAAGGCCGGCGAGGTGTTGGCAATGATCTCAACAAGGGATCTAAATAGACGTCTCCTATGGGCAAAGCGGTTATTCCTTAGGAATACTTTTTTGTAAACCGGTTTTCGCCTTTTTTTTTTTTTTTTTTTCTTTGCTTTCTTTTTTTTTTTTTTTTTTTTTTTTTTTTACTTAGCTTTCTCATCTGTTCCTTAAAGCGAGATCAGATAAACAGGATGTTTGATTATATTATAAACGTCATTTGAAATTAATTTCATATAATAAATAATAATAATAATAAAGTTAATTTCAAGCCTCTTCGTCCCTAATTAAGGCTCGAAGCGCAATAACATGCAAATCGCAGCAATACAAAATCTACACACAAGCCAATGGACAATAAAAGGCAATATAAATCAAGGAATATGAGGAAGCTCCACAGAAACAAGGAGGTAGACTACATCAACCCAGCAGATGAGTGCGAAAAAGGTGTGTTTTCAACTCAGTTTTGAAAGACTCCAGTGTATGGCTGTTTCTGAGAGCGACAGGAGGGCCGTTCCAGATTCTTGGGCCAGCAAAAGCGAAAGTGCGCCTTCCGTAGGTCTCAAGGCGTACTCACGGTATTAATAGAACGGAGTGATCTAGTGGGTACATAAGGCGTCATGAGCGCTTTGAGATAGGACGGCGCCAGGTCATGCAAGCAGCGGCTGCAAAGAGTTACAATTTTTTACTCCATGCGAGCGCGGACCGGCAGCCAATGCAGCACTCTTAGAAGTGTTATATCATGGTCGAATTTGCGTTAGCGCAGAACAATGCGAGCCGCATTATTCTGTGCTTTTTAAAATTCTATTCAGGAGCGTAGCCGGAAGACTCACCATGAGAGCATTGCAGCAGTCCATGCGTGACAGCACGACTGCATCAAACGTTAAAAAATGTCTGATATAACTAATTCTGGGCAGCTCTAGAAAAATCGCCTTGCCAAGCATGTTAGTGTGATTTTCCATAGCTAGTGTTCTATCTAACTAGACACCCAGGTTTCGCATTGTTTGAGCAAACTCAATCTGCACACCCGAGAGAGTAATGCCATGTACAGATTTTACACTCTGAGCTTTAGCAATATGGATCAGCTCGGTCTTTTCATCATTTATTTTGAGCTTGTTTATGGTCACCCATTGCTTAACTGACTCCACTGTCTTCTGTGTCATACAAGAAGCTAAGGGAACTGAGAGGGGATTTCGCACTGCTGAAGTTGGATATCATACGTGAACATGTGATATAGCATGCCAATCTGCTTGATCACTGCACCCAGTGGCTGAGCGTACATAGTCAAAAGCACCGGGCCCAGGACCGAGCCCTGGGGTACTCCGAATTCGATAATAGATCGCTTTGAGGTCAAGCCGTTTGCTATAACTGATTGGACCCGATTTGTTAGATACGAACGGAACCATCTCAGGACAGTATCGGTGAAACCGAACTTTTTTTCAGACATTGGAGAAGTAAGCCATGGTCAAGCGTAACGAAAGTTGCCGATCGATCAAGTTACGACAAAAGGGATACCTGGCCCTCATCACATGACGACAGAATGTCATTTACGACGCGCAACAGGCCTGTCTCAGAGTGATGCACCTTGTATGCTGGACTAGAAAGGCTCAAGCAAGTCACACTGAGTGAGGTGATCCAGGAGTTGGCGGAAAACGATTTTTATCTAAGATTTTGGATACAAATGGTAGATTAGAAACGGGGCTATAATTTTCCAACACATTTGGGTCGAGATTTGCTTTCTTTAGCAGTGGAGTTACAACCGCCTCTTTAAAGGAGGAACAATACCAGTTTTCAAAGACTGATTTATGATACAAGTTATGATAGGGACTATTTCATCCAAACCTTCGTACAACAGCCCTGCCAGAAGAGGGTCGAGCAAACTTGGCTTTCTTGAGGTGTCAACCAGGATTTTCCTCACATGCGATTCAGTGACCTCCACACATTCGTCCAAAGGAGTGCCGTTAAACGGCAAGAATTCGGGATTTTCGGTGCAAATGTTAAGTCTCGCCCTGATGTTCGTTCGTAACTTTAGTAACAAAGAACTCAGTTAGAGCGTTTGGCAGCTCGCCTACAACAAGGTGTTTTGGCAAAGATGTGTCCTTCATCTACTTAATCATCTACTTGCGGAAACATCTTTTCCCCTAATTTAGCGGTATAATCAGACACGCCAAGCGAGTAACAGCTTCGATTGTTATCTGTAAGTTTATTTTTAAAAAGTCTTTTATTTATATAAAAAAAGGTTATACAATTCGTGATAAAAATAAAAATCAGTACAAATGATATTAATAACTCGCCAATTGTGTTTTAAAAAATTAGCCAGAAACTATCGGTTTCAAACACAGATCATCATAGAGCACCCTTAATCCGGGCCCACTACACCACTGTGGGGGTCTTTGGAGGGGGTGGGGTAACTGCGCTGTAGAGTTTAAATGGAAAGCAGGAAGCTAAATTAAGAAGTCATCATCTGGTCGGGAAGACAACACGTAGAAGTAGCGTTGCTCATCAACAGCAAGAATCAAACAAAGAGAACCTCACGATGGTAGTCAATGAAAGCACGATGACTTTAGGGCAACCACAGCCTCACAATGGTAGTCGATGAAGCCATGATCATTCTAGGACAACCATAGCCTCACGATGGTAGCCAATGAAGGCACGATCACTTTAGATTAGGATCAATTCCAAGTTCTCAAATTTATTTGTTGTGTCTGGAGGCCCAAAGACGTCAACTGACAAAAAACTCAAAGTGACACACTGCGGCTGTGTGGCCACCACAAGCTAAGATATCACGACAGCATGGCCAGCGATTTGGATAGCACACACTGAGATATGCCAGCATTATTGCATGCTCTTCTTGATTGGCGACTTCTTGATTGCTGACTTCGTGATTTTTTTTTTATTGGTGACTTCTTGATTGTAGACTTCTTCATTGGTGACTTCTTTATTAGTAACGTCTTCATCGATGAATTCAATGTCAGATTGGAAAGAAAGAATGAAAATGAAGAAATACATTTTAGAAAACTACCTCACTACTGTGCTCTTTACTTTGTTATATTTTCATTTCTATTGTTGGCTGAGGAAGGCTTTATGCCGAAACGTCCTTGTTTTTTGTCCTGTTATCTTATTTCAAACTTCCACATACCTCGTTTCGCTATTTCATTCATTTACTAAGCTTGAAAGCAGTCCTTTAATTTATTTCTCACCAGGGCTCCTCGATGCACACTCTGGGAACCACTGGTCCAGCACATATAATCGAAAGCAAGTGAGTGTCTGGGAGTTGGGGGGGGGGAGATTTGAGAGACTGGTCTAACTTGGTATTCACAGGTAGATGTAAATGGTTCATTTGTCCAAAAAGAACTGAGAAAATCTCAAACAATGGAGGCAATATTTTGAAGAGCCTCCAAGCGGCCTTGACCTCAACCACGTGTACGAATTCTCGAGCTTTAAGAATATCCTAACATCAGTTTAGGGCCCACTACTCTGGAGGATGAACTGACATAACCTTATCAAGAAAGCAGGTGACGTCGCAAAAAGAAAGCCATGAAGAATCATTTAAAGCAAAATGCACATTGCAACACTAGGTGACTTCACATCCTGAACACAACATCCCGGTTACTTAAGATCATCTCGATCAGGGAGTATTCTTTACTTCAAAATAAAGGTCGCAAGGTGGAATTTCATTTTTTCTCAAAGCGATCAGAATTGACCAAAAGTGTGCTCACAGTGTGCTCCCATGGCCATCATAAAAGCTATGAATCAAACCTTAGAGACAATATTGTTATTATGGAAATTATGGTTTTTGGCCCTTGAGAACTACTTTACTTATGCGTGTTGTTTAAATTGGTGTAGTTTTAAAAAAAAAATATCTTCACTATAATGTTTTCAGTCTGCTAAACAATGAATATGTGCCACGTGATCAAAACACCTTTCCGTTTATTTGGGTCAA